TTTTTTTAAAGATTTATTTATTTGTGCATACAGAACTGGGGTACAGGCCAGAGACTCAGGGGTGGCGAAAGACTTCACCAGAGACAGAGTGGGAAGCAGAACAGGCAGATCGACAAAGTACATTGCTGAGGGGAGCAGCGGGCTGGTCAGGAGAGTCTGCCTCACCATGTGGTCACCTCTGGGGCAGGTGGGTCTCGAACTCATGCAGAAGTGGTTTCAGCTTCTTAGTGCTGTGCTTTAACCTGCTGCACCACCAGGGAGGGCCCGGAAAATGCTGGCTTTTAAGCAGTTGAAAAAATGCTTAATTGTAGTCGTAACAGAATTATAAAGGAAAGTGGCAATAAAACACTTTGTATTATCAGATGGTTGACAGAGAGCAAAAAGTATAATATACACTCACTGGTAAGGCCGTAAGTTTAGGCATTCCCATATGTTGTTGGGGGTGTGTACTTTGGTCTACTTCTAAAAAGAACAATATGGGCCCACAGCCCTTAACCCAGTAATTCCAATTCTAAGAATTTATAGCAGCCTATTACAGAGTTTACTGGGAAATGCTGAGGCTTTGGAAACAGGCCTGGGTTTGCAACATGACACTTCCATGTGACTTGGGTTATACATACGTGCAAAGAAGTGTATGTAAGAGTTACAGCATGCTGTTGGTAAATTTCAGTGGTACCTTTTGAATTCTGAAGCTTATGCATGGGGTAACTGTCCAAATACACACATCACTTTGAGAAATCTAATAGGGGAAATCTAATATGATAGAGGCAAGAAATCAAGGGCTACTGGACGAGGCAGCCCACCCAAGTGGCAGGGAGTGTTAGAGACACAGCAGTTGCTGAGAAAATCTACAGGAGGGGAAATCTACAGGACTGGGTGGGTTCTAGGTGACTGTGTCATCAACTGGAAGGAATGGCATCTTTGACACATACAGGAGGTGGTGACAGCCCCCGAGGGACAGGGCTGGGGAGGCAGGCATGCTCCTCACACAGCAGAGGGGTGGGAATAAGTGTTTTGGGCAGAGTCCAAAGTTGGCAACTTGTCTCCTGTGTCTGCCCACAAGGAGGTAATTTTCCGCTGGCCTTAGACACATCAGGGATGAAAGCAATCCCCTGTATAAATGGAGTCCCAAAGAGTTGGGCTTGACCCATGGCAGCTGGGTCACCAGCTCCCCAGGCCTGCCATGGTCACCAGCAGAGTTACTAGCTGGGGGGTCTCCTGGGATCTGAGAAGAATGGTCTTACAGCTGGCGAGCGTGGGTTGTTTGGGGCAACCCACCGAAAGGGGAGCCTGACCAGCTTCACCTCCCTGGTGACTCATCCTCATGGTCTCTCCCTAGCCGTCACCTCATCCCCTGAGATGTGAGGCGTGGGGAGGGTCTTGTCCAGAGGCTCCAAGCCCAGTCCCCAAAGGTTCCTCTGCCTTCATTCAGCCCCAAAAGCTGGCTCTCAGCCCCCCACTTGTCCTCTACCATACTGCTGGTCAGGGGCGTGTCAGGCGTCACCCCTCCCTGCCTCCGAGGCCTGTGAGTCACTGTCTAGGCACCGAGGATCTAGCAGGCTCAGAAGGCGTGGCATCTGGAGGGGCGCATGGGGCTGCTGTGGGCATGAGGGGAACAGCACTCATGGAAGGAGAGGGCAGCATAAGCTTTGGTCTAGGCCACCCTGGGTTTGAATCCTGACCCCTCTTTTCATGAGCTCAGTCACCTTGGCAAATCATATAACTTCTCTGCGTTTCAGTCTCCATAGCTATAAAATAATCATGCAGTCAGCAACACAATCCTATGTGTCAGGGAATGTTCTGAGGGCTTAGAGAAGAGGCCTTATTTCTGTAGAACTTCTAGTCTGGTGGACACAGTGACTATATCTACCCGAGGATTAAACAAGATAATATGGGTTCAGGGTCAAGAACTAGTGGGTGCTCAGTAAATGACGGTGATTTCTTGGGGTCGCCAAAACTCCCCAAGTAATTATTTTCCCTTCCCAAATTCAAAACCAGCAGCTGGAGAGAGGATGTCTCAAGAACTGATAGAGATTTGAAAGTCAGCTCTTTTAGTGGGGAAAAAAAGTGGAGTGCAGCATGCTGAGCTCTTCAGCAAAAATGGGCTTCTACATGCTCCTCAGAACTGAATTAGTTCCACCACCACACCACACTCGTAGACACACAATGACAGGCCTCTCATCCCAGGACAGAGCTTCCCCTGTAAGTGTAAATCCTCAAGGGAGAGTTGAGAGTACTCTCCCGCTCTGAGCAAATCATCACCAAGAGGGGGGACGCTCCCACCAGCAATGGCCATTTCCTTCTCTCACACCATCTTGTTGCTTCCACTCCACCTTCTGGTTGCTCCAACACAATGAATGGGACTACAGTGGCAGGGACAGGTGGGAAAGGGGAACATCTTTCATTTCAGTTTCACCTACTGCAGACCCTGAATGACATCTGGTCGCTGTTGACCTTGGTGGGAGTTTTATTGGCTGGTTTTCTCTGCGCCCCTTCCTCCCCACCTTCCCTGCTCTGCTCGGTGTCTGGCAACATGAACCCTCTTTTTCTTAGACTCTCCCCTTGCCACAGGGCTTCTGTCTAGGTTCAGCCAATGGGAGCCAGTGACTGGAGTCTGAGGAGGGAGAGCAAGGCCGGACACTTTCCCCTTCTCTCTTAACCAGGTGGCACTTCAGCTGCATGTCCCCTCCAAGGTCCTGACCCCTGTAAACTTCCCTCCCCCTTGGATCCTACCTCGTGTGGTCCCAGCCCCAAGACTCTGACGTCACCAAGTCCGCACTTAGCTCCTTCAACCCCAGGGCTGAGAGCAGCTCCCTAGTTTGGCTAACTTCGGGGTAGCCTAGTCAGCATCCAGCCCTGGACAGGGAGCCCACAGGAAGGAGGAGTGAAGGCAACCCCTGTGCAGTGATTCTCCTGCTTTGGGGAGGGAGACCAGCCTAAGCTTCCAACACCTCCAAACCATCGCTCCAACCCAGCAGGGCTGCACCAACCCCGCGTAGACATTCAGGAGCAGCTGTCTGGTTGGACAGGGGCTTGTAGCTGTGTCTGCATAACATGCAGCATGGGGTTGGAAAGAAGCCAGTTGTCTTTATCAAGAAGGGCGGAGTGTTGATGGAGACTACTGGGAAGTCAGTCAGCAACCCCAGGCCCAGCCATTCCCTATCATTGGTGCCATAGTGCCACTGTTTTGCCTTAATGAGCTTCTGGACTCTCTGTATCCAGATATCCTGCCTGAAGAAAAACCCCCAATCTGCTGGGTGGACTGGTGAGCACCCACCCATGAAACGACTCTGAAGCCACTTCAGGCCCCACTGGCCTCACCAGACTCTTGGTGCAGCTCTGTGCCACAGAGACCAACTTCATGCAGCTCAACAGCACCTCACCTCCAGCCTCAGAGTTTCCCTGGTGACTCGGCAGCCCTCCTGTGTGCAACTCAGAAATGCAGGCGAGTTCATGCTTGAAGGGTTGGAGTTAGCCAGCCGAAGAAAAGAGCCAGTGTGCAAACTCCTCAGCTCTTCTCTTGCCCACTGCCCAAAGGAGCTGGTCTGAGAGGCCATTTATTGGGCTGGATCTTCTATCGGGTGAGTCCTTCTCCTTTCCTCCTTTTCTCTCCTTGGGTCCCTCTTATGGACCCTAGAAATCCACTCTTTAATCAAATCTGAATCAGGTCTGATTTCTAGGGAAGTCTGAGACGCCAATCTTCCTATCATCCATGAAGCAGAAGCCTTTCTTCAATGGTGTTCCCCAACATACAAAGACATTTACGAGACTATAAGGTCATAGGGCTTTATTTAGGAGAGACTCTCAGGGCTCCCCTAGTGTTCATCCCCTTCCTCCCGTCTCCCTCCCCTCCACACTCTCATGCCTACCTCTCATAATCCTTCTCCAGGGCGGCCATATCCTCCCGGGCCTCAGAGAACTCGCCCTCCTCCATGCCCTCCCCCACGTACCAGTGCACAAACGCCCTCTTGGCGTACATCAGGTCGAACTTGTGGTCCAGGCGGGCCCAGGCCTCGGCGATGGCGGTGGTGTTGCTCAGCATGCACACGGCCCGCTGCACCTTGGCCAGGTCGCCCCCGGGCACCACGGTGGGGGGCTGGTAGTTGATGCCGACTTTGAAACCCGTGGGGCACCAGTCCACGAACTGAATACTACGCTTGGTCTTGATGGCCACGATGGCGGCGTTGACATCCTTGGGCACCACGTCTCCGCGGTACAGCAGGCAGCAGGCCATGTACTTGCCGTGGCGGGGGTCGCACTTCACCATCTGGTTGGCCGGCTCGAAGCAGGCGTTGGTGATCTCCGCCACCGACAGCTGCTCGTGATAGGCCTTCTCTGCAGAGATGACGGGGGCATAGGTGGCCAGGGGGAAGTGGATGCGAGGGTAGGGCACCAGGTTGGTCTGGAACTCAGTCAGGTCCACGTTGAGGGCCCCGTCGAAGCGCAGGGAAGCTGTGATGGACGAGACGATCTGGCTGATGAGGCGGTTGAGGTTGGTGTAGGTCGGGCGCTCGATGTCCAGGTTGCGGCGGCAGATGTCATAGATGGCCTCGTTGTCCACCATGAAGGCGCAGTCTGAGTGCTCCAGGGTGGTGTGCGTGGTCAGGATGGAGTTGTAGGGCTCCACCACGGCTGTGGACACCTGGGGGGCTGGGTAGATGGAGAACTCCAGCTTGGACTTCTTGCCATAGTCAACAGAGAGCCGCTCCATGAGGAGCGAGGTGAAGCCAGAGCCGGTGCCGCCCCCAAAGCTGTGGAAGACCAGGAAGCCCTGGAGCCCTGTGCACTGGGCAGAGCATAAAGTGGAGAAGAGAAGAGTGGATGTGGCGCACAGCGAACGGGAAAGAACCAGCTGGTGCTATTTCAAGTTCTCCTGAAGTTTCATAAAATCCTCGGATGAGTTTTCTAAGAGCAAAAAATGGTTCCATAAAGGGAAGACTCATTCCTCATCCTCTCTTCGATCTCCTAAGGCCTTTGACAGTTCTCTTGAATCTTGCACCAGAGTCATTTTTAAGGCATCGTCACTTGCCAAGTCCATGCAACTTCATACCAGTGTCCCCTAATTTAACTTCCGACCCTTCTGGAGGGCTTTTCTACTGAGTTCGGGACCCTGGTCCCCTCCCTCATGGTCAGCCAAAGTCAGTGGCTGAAACTTGGTCCAGCATTATTTGAATCGAATATTCACTGGCCTCTGCCCACACCCTTACAATTCAAGGTGCTATTCTGGGAATATCACCTGTGGAGTCCATTATTGACCAGGTAGCCCCTGGTCATATCGGCACTGGTGCCCACTCTGCCCAATGCCAAGCCATTTGCCATAGGGAATTAAACGGCTACCCAAATCCAGGCTCTGCCTCCTTGGTCAGAGTGCAGGGACCCTCCTCACTAGTCCTGAACCTGTGTGGTTAACACCTGTCCAGGGGTTGACGCTTTGCTTCTCATGTCTAGACCGCTTCACCCCAGGAATCCAGAACCCCCTTCCCCGGCCCTCAGTCTTCTTACCAGCTTCCGAATGCGGTCAAGCGCCAAGTCAATGAGCCCCTTCCCTAAGGTACAGTGGCCTTGGGGGTAGCTATTGGCAGCAGCTTCCTTGCCTTTGATACCCTGCACTGGTAAAAGAGCTGGTGGTACATACCTGTCCGAACCTCATCTACAAAAGAAAGAGTTTTGGGGCCCATGGTGTCTGGCCCAGGTGTCCAGAAGGGTTAGTGTCAGCAGGCCCCAAATCCTACTCTGGCAGAACCCCATTGAGGCTCTCATTTCTGCCCTTGTTCATTGTTCTTTGATGAAAAGGAAAGAGAAGTGGATGGGACGTGAGGCCTTGCAGCTGAAGGACAGTGCCATCGAGTTCTCTTGGGCTGCAGCAACTGGGGCCCACAAAGCCCAGTGTACGCCAGCTCTGGAGGAGAACTTGTGCTGATACTCAGACAAGACCATGGTGGGGCCGGAGTGCTACTCACCAATCACGGTGGGCTCCAGATCCATGAACACTGCCAGGGCACATGCTTGCCAGCACCAGGTTCACAGAAGAAGGTGTTGAAGGAGTCGCCCTTCCACCAATGGTCTTGTCACTGGGCACCTGCCCATCTGGCTGTGTCCCATGTTCCAGACAGCAGAGCTCCCGGCAGGCATTGCCATTCTGCACACGGGCCTGCCCCACGTGGACGGAGGTGCACTCACGCTGAGCAAGCAAAGGGCAGAGAACATCCTTAGCGAAGAGAAAGGCATCGTGCCTGGACACGGTTCCTGCCTTCCCTCCTTGTGTGCTTCTCTACTGAGGGCAAAGTTTCCTGAACTCTGTTCTCCTCGCCCCACCTCCTGTTTCTAAATGTTTATTGGTAGCATTGAGGACCAACAGGCACTGACCGTGGGTTGGCCTGATGCCCTCGGGGGAAGCAGAAGATGTGGGCAATTCTAAGATGACAGCCAATTGCTTGGTGACTAAGCATCCTAAGGAACACTGAGGGGTCAGATGAGTCTGGCAGGACGTGATAGTCAACCACCCACATCTCAAAGAAATTAGGGTGCTAGATGAGGGAAGCAGGATCCAAGTGAGGTTTTGGGGTCAGCGATAAGGAAGAGGCTTGGAAAAGCAGAAAGAACTCCAAGTTCATGTGACAGGAAGAAGGGAAAAGAGCCTGGAAGGGCCAGGCACGTCTATTCCCTGCCTTTGAGGTTGAGTGTGCTTCTGAAGTACAAGGAGGCTGGAGAGAAAATTCTTCCTCAGGCAATTCCAGTCTGGAAGTCTAAGAACTCTTGGCCCCTGAAGCAGAACTGGGATTGCCTGCTTGTTTCTAGAAAAGAGAAGGATAAGCCCTCTGCCAAGAGAGCCCAGTGAGAATCAAGAAGGCTCACCCCTCCTGTCTATCAAACATTATTGAGCCCTAACTACAAGTTAACACTGACACGGGGTCACAGAATGCCAAATCCTGCCCTTAAGGAGCTCCCCATCAGGGAAGGGACGGTTTCAAATGTTAACAGACGTGATGGTGTTGTAAGTGGGACAGAGCGTGTCTCCCTGCGGGGCTCAGGAAGGAATTACTGCAGACCTTAAAGCCAAAATGCCGACACCCATCAGACTTCCCCAAACTTTATGGCTGCACGCACGGGAGGGTGTGGAGAAATGTAACGCTTTGGGTTGACAGACGTCTAAAGTAAAATAGCTCTCTCTGAGAACATTTGGCAATATCTAGGAAAGCTTAGGATCCTCCTGTGCTAGAGAAATTCTGACACAGGTAAACAAGAGCAGGTGTAAGAACAGTCACAGCACCACAGCAACTGAAGCCAAGCAAATGTACTTAAGCTGGGAGAAGATAGATAAAGAATGATTCAGAAGTGGAAATGACTACCTTACCAAAAAAAGCAAATTAAGAAAAATCATACAATGTGATACCATCTGCATATAAATCTTTAACTCATGAAACAATATGATGCCTCAGTTGTGGGTAAATATTTATATTTGCTATATATTCTTATAGTAAGTGTATAGCACAAAAATTAAGAGAGGAAGAGAAGATATTATTATCAAACTTGAGGTAAATGTTCTCCGTGGTAGGAAGAGGAGGTGAAGGCAATTGGAAAGGTATTATATTTCTTGAACTGGGTTGTAAGTCTTCATTATATTGTTCTTTATGCCTTTTTTTGAATGTCTGAAATATTTCTTAATTATTTTATTTTATTTTTTAAAGGTTTATTTGTGCATACTGAACTGGGGTATAAGCCAGAGGTGTAGGGGTGGTGAGAGGCTTCGCCAGAGACAGAGTGGGGAGCAGAGCAGGAAGATTGTGAAATACATTGCTGAGGGAGCAGCAGGGAGAAAGGAGAGGTCTGCCATGCCATGTCACCTCCGGGGTCGGGGATTGAGCTCCCACTGAAGCGGCTGTGGCTCACTTGCAGTGCTGCGTCCTAACCCGCTGCATGACCAGGGAGGGGCTTCTTAATTTTTTAAATGAGGAGGTTTTCTTCATAAATTTAACACTTCACTGACATTTTTATATGGCACGGGGACCTTGACTCTGTATGATTTCTAGGTGACTAAGGCTAACCCCAGCCCCGTGACTTCCTGCTTGCGGTGAGTAAGACATGTACCTTTCCTGTGAGTGTCCTCCCCTGTAACATGGGGGTGATCAAAGAGCCCCTTCTAGAACTACTACTTCAATTGCCTCGCTCATCACCTAATACACACTAGGGTGCCCCATGTTTGGTCCCCCTCCCCAGTCCCTAGTGTCATTGCAAAACAAGGAAATGAATTAAGCTGGAAAGGCTGTAGGCACCCAAGGGCTCCTGAGATCCCCAGGGCCAGGAGGAAGAGCTGACAAGGTGGAGGTCAGCCCAGCAGAGGTCAGCCCAGCTGCTGCCCTCCCAGCCTGCCCAGGTTGTAACCACAGCGGCAGGCACTGCCCAGCTCCCATGACTGCTCACCTGTGCAAGGCGCTCTGCCGTCCTGGGACACTGAGCTGCTGGAAAGCGCAGCAGCAGGTGTGGGCACAGAAGTCAGCCCTGGAGCTGCGTAAGCTTGGCCTCAGACTCCCGTGCCTTTATGACCCAGACACTCACTTCAGGCCACTCCCTGGCTGCATTGCTCTGATCATATCCAAAGTCACATTGAGTCTTCACAAGAGCTCCATGGGTAGGTAGTTTGTGTTGGTTTTTTTTTTTTTTTTAAAGATTTATTTATTTATGCATTCAGAACTGGGGTACAGGCTACAGGTGCAGGGGCCGTGAGAAGCTTCACCAGAGACAGAGTGGGGAGCAGAACAGGCAGATCGACAAAGTACACTGCTGAGGGGAGCCGCATAGACAGATCGACAAAGTACACTGCTGAGGGGAGCCGCGGGCGGGTCAGGAGAGGTCTGCTGCACCACGTGGTCACCTCCGGGGCAGGCGGGGATCGAACTCCTGCTGAAGTGGCTTTAACTTCTTAGTGCTGTGCTTTCACCTGCTGCGCCACCAGGGAGGGCCTGGTAGGTAGTTTTATTGTCCCCATTTTACTGATGAGGCAACTGAGTCTCAGAGAGGTTAACCCACTTGCTCAAGCTCATGAGCAAAACCCAGAACGATTGAAAGCAGGTGACTCCAAATGTGCCCTTGTCTGCTGCTCTTGTCTGCTGCCTGGTGGGGGTGGGTAACATATCAAAGGAGCCCCATACACAGCCAGTGCTTGATAAATGGGAGCACACTCCCTCTCTCTCCTCCTACTTCCTCTCCTTCACTATTATGTAACTGCAGTTAGGGGACAGACTAAAGCATGGCAGATGGGAGGGCTAAGAGGACTCACCCTTCCCTCCTCCGCTGGAAGGTGGGACCACAGTGAACGTGCCCTGGCTACCCCTCCCACTCCCCAACCCCCAGGAAAGTGGCTGTACTCTAGGCCAGGCGTGCTTATCCCAAGTCCCTCAGCAGCTCTGCTCCTGAGCAGGGGCTCAAAACCATGTCGGGTTACCAAAGCCCTGTTCCACTCCATCCCTTTGACCTGACCCACACCAGCCTGTGGGGGTGCACACTCAGGGGGCCACACTTCTGGCAGCCTCCTTCCCTCTCCACCACTTCTCAAAAGTCCCATCACACCCCCAACTGGGCCCACTTGTATGTCTGCCATAGGCCTCTGCTTACCATGATGCCTGGCTGGGGCCTAGCAAGGTTGTCTGCCCGTGTGTCTGCTGCCAGACCAGAGGCAGGAAGACAGGCAGAACATCCTAGAATACTGGAAGGAGCAGTAGGTTTTAGCACCTAGCGTTTAATTCAGTTTTGTCGCCTGTGGGTGGGAGCGGTAGTATTGAGGCAGAAGTGCAAAGCACTGAATCAGGGTTGTTTTGCAGAGAAAAATAGGAGGGTGAGCTAGGACTCAGCTACGTGGGTGCCCTCATGTCCCAGTGCAAGTCTGGTGTGTCCTGGCCTTATTTCCCCACAGAATAAGACTCTGTAGTTTCAGCAAATTTGAGAAATAAGGCACTTCACTTCTTGTTCCCTTTGAACCCCTAAACACCATCCTGAGGTAGGTAAGGCAGGGCCTCCATTCCCCTGTGAAGAAAGGAAATTGAAGTCTCGCGTGTCTTGCCCAAGGTCACATGGGGGCTAATTAGTGGTAAAATTAAGGTTCATCTGGGGCTTAGACTCGTTTTTCTATATGGCAGTTTTCCCTGACCCTCCCCCACTTCCCTCTCCTGTATTTCTTTCCCTCTGATCTCGACTTCTGTGATCAGCCACCACCATTCCCTTGCATACCCTGCAACTCACCTGCCTCCTTCTGGCTTCAGTATCCCCATGTGACAAACAGCAACTGTGGCTAAGTCCATGTCTTCACCAACTCTGGCTTCCTACTCTAGCTGAACAGTGGAGCAGAAAACCCAGAACCACACTTGCAGATCTGACACTAACCTCAGATGGGCCTAAAACTGTCCCCCAAATATACCACTTCCCTCCGGCCTCTACCTCCGAGCGACCATGACCAGGAGAAAGGCTGTCAGATTTAGCTAATAAAATAATTGTGTTTAACACCCTACCCAGGAAGCAGTTGCTAATGTGAAATGTTCATCAATGGGGCAAGTGGTGGGGAGTTATTTTAATTGAGGATTTTTCAGAAGCTGGTGTTCACTGGATACTGGGGCATGACCCAGAATATCAAGAGGGGTAACTTGGTTTGGACCATGGGCTGAACTCTCTCTTCTACCTGGAATTAAGAGGTCAAGATCCCCAGAAAGTCAACTAATACTCCGTAGACAAGGAAGCCCAGTTCTCCCACAGGGTTGATCCTCCTGTAGAGAGACCGAGGGCCCCAAGAGTCCACTGACCCAAAATTGTTTGTCCCAGCATTCCAACTGGTCTTTGATGTTGGAAATCTCAGAGTCAGCATAGAGTCACTGACTCTGGGAAGATAATTGTCCTAAAGACAGACAGGGAGGAGCCTGCCCATGACTGTAAAAGCGTATTAATAAATCTAAGAGCTAAGAGGAAAGGCAATCAATAATCTTCACCCCTTTAACAAATACTGAGTATCAGTTCTGTGTCAGAACTGATACTCAGTATTTGTTAAATTTAACAAATACTGAGTATCCACTATGTGCCAGGATTATTGGGGCAGAAGAGAAGAATCTCTGCTCTTAAGGCACATACATTTTCATGGGGAACCACTAGGACATTAAACAAATGAGACACTTCTGGTAGTGATCAACACACAAAGGAAACAAAACAAGACAAAAGCCCCAAAAGAGATGGGGAGGGGGTGCTGTTGAGAGAGAGAGGGAGAGAGAGAGAGAGAGAGAGAGAGAGAGAGAGAGAGCAGTCTCTAAAAGGTGGTATTTGCACTTCGACCACATGACCAAGGGGTCTGGCAAGATCTGGGGGAGTGCTCCAGGCAGAGAGAATATTGAGTGAAGAGCTTCAGAGGTGGATGTGCGCCCCATGTACTCAAGGAACCCGAGTGGAGCACTTCCTCTAAGGTGAGATCACAGCTTTAAGGGGGCCTTGGAAGGAGAGAGGCTGTTAGTGTCAGTGCAGTGGGAGGGTTCTGAGCACGTCGCTGCGACTGTGTATTGGAGAGGGATGACTACAGCTGCTGTGTAGAGCAGGCATTATAGGGGTTCAAGAGGAGGGCGGGAAGCTGGTTCTGCAGGTGTCCAGAGAGGAGGGGATGGCAGGTTCTCAGTGAAGCTATAGGGCGTGCTGACGTGAGCTGGCCAGATCTACCCTGTCTGCAGAACTCCCGGCTTCTGCTCCTCCTTTGCTGGTAGGACCTTGATTTTGTCTCATTGTCTACTTGATCAGGGAAGAAGACCTTTCCTCAGACCCAGGGTAAGCATCGATTTGTCTAACCCATTCGTGCTAATTCCACTCCTTCCTCTTAGTGACTGGTTTAAAGAGAAGTGAACAAGAGTGCTTTTTTTCTCCATTATAAAAAGAGAAAGGAGGAAACCCCCTTCCAGCCACAGTACAGTGTCCTATGTGGGTGTGATATGTTGGAGTTGTTGCAGCCATCCTGTGATCACGTAAGGTGTTACCAACCCCTTGAGCCAAAAGCTGGAAATACCGGAGTTATCGGTGACATCATCAAATCAACTGGAACCGCCCTGTGCTCAGATTTCTTGTGGGATAATAAATATCCTCATTGTTTAGGCTGCTGTTAGGTTTTCCATTATTTGCAGCCAAAAAAATGTCCTAATAAAAGAGGGGGAGGGGAGAGGGAAGGAGGAACGTGGGATGATCCCAGGTTTTTAAATGAAGCACTGAATGGGAGATGATATTGCTAGCTCAGATTGAGAAGCCTGGAACAAAAGCAGGTTTGGCAAGGAGTGGGGTGAGGACAGGATATTGAGCGTTCTGCTTTGCATGTGTTACATTTGAGACGTCTCATAGGCTTTCAGCTGATGTTGTCCAGAAAGCAATGTTGACCCAAAGTTCAGAGCAGAGGTCCAAACCAGGACATGGAATTAAGTCATCAGCATATAGGTGAGAATTATCTTTTTAGTCTATGTTTTCACTGCTTGGTGATATACTCTAACTCCCTTCCTTTTTAAATAATCCTAGAAATGCTAGACCTTTTTTATTAAAGACACTGAATCATACCCCCCAAGTAGAAATAACATAATAAAATCTCATAGATTTATTACTCACCTTCCACAATTGCTCCCCAAATAAAGAAGAGACTGGGGAACATTCCTTAGAGGTAAGACATCAAAGAAAGAGTGGCCAATACTAAAACCCAAGAGAGGGTGTTAGCCAAGCCCAGAAGAAATTGTCTCAGGAGGAAGGAAGGATAGATTGTGTCAAACAGCCGAGGACTGAGAAAGATGAAGACAGAGAGGTGCCTTGGGCTTTGGCAAATGGAGACCAGTAAAGACGCGGGCAAGGGCATCTCAAGGGCATCTCGGTGGAGCATGTGGCCCCAGCCTGTGGGGACCGCAGGGAGAAGAGGTGGTGTGTGTATCTTTTTGGAGCCGTGGAGCTGTGAGAAGGGACACAGCTGGCGGCTGCTCCAGTCTGGAGAAATGGAAGGATGCGCACTAGGGCTCAGCAATGCCTCTCCCAGATGGACTCAGTGGAGACATTTTCAACTGCGAGGACTCCCCCACACTGCTCCAGGGTGGAAGTGAGCCTCTCCGAAGTGGCTAGGAAAAATGGAGCTAATGGGGCTAGAGGGAGAGATCCCCTGAAAGAGTAGCCTGCTGGACATCCCAGAAAAGAGACTCAGCAGGAAGAGAGAAGTGCCTGGCAACTACTTCTAGATTCTGCTCATATATGCGAAAACCTAAGCGTTTCCAGTCTGGTGCACACCCACCAGCGCTCATAATCCCAACTCAGGGAAGGTGTACATATAGACTAAGGAAACACCTTACCCTTATGGTCACAGTGTTTGCACGAGTACACACACGCAAGAGCTCCATCAGAAGCAGAATCTGTATTCTACTAACATGCCTTAGGCATTTGTTTCTTCTGCACCTTTCTCTTCTTCATTTTCTCTGCCAGAGGGTCTGCTCAAGGGTTATAAACCCCTTGTGATAAGGGCCAAAGTCATGCAATGTTTTGAGTATGTAATGTGTGTGATGTGTGCTCAGCATGTTGAATGGAACAGGCTCTGCTCTGTGTCAGGAAGCCACAGACCTGCAAACTATGATGACCAGCCCAAAAGGCGGCAGCCATCCTGATCCAACTGTTGCCATAGTGTTCTCTTTGCTGCTGTAACAAACTGCTACAAACACAGTAGCCTTAAAATGACACAAATTTATTATCTAACAGTTCCAACTATAGAAAGGACACACAGCTGGATCACAGGGGGGAAGATACACGCAGAGTCTGGAAGGATGATTCTGCGCCTGTTCTCTCCCATAAGGGCTCACAGAGCATACACTTCCTCCAGAATGAAGACAGAGCAAAAATTCCCTGCAGTGTTTTTGCCTATGGCATCCATTAGGGACTCAGCACATAAGGTTTTTACTGCTCAGGGAGCCACCTCTGTCTAGCACATACCAAAATTCCAGACTCCTAGAAGAAAAGCTGGTAAATTCAGCATAAATCATGTTACCTAATTTAACATAAATTATATTGCCTACACACAGTCTAGGTTCAATGGATCAACCTGAAATAAATCTCATCTGTGAATGCACCTGTATGCCAAGGCCTAGCTAATCTCCCCATATACAGGTGACGCTAGAGATGCCCAACACAGCAACAAATCCTGATTCCCCCCCCCCATTTTCTAAATATCATGGGGGTTAACATTCCAAGGATCAAAAAAAAAAAAAATTTCTGAGATGGAATGTGGCTTCTCATCTGTCTATTTGCAAATCCTGGCTTCCTAGATTTCTACCCAATTTTGAGTCTCATATCTGAAGTGAAATAGTCCATTTGACACACAATTAATGCATGCTCACCAAGTGCTAAGTGAGCACGAGGCTAAGAAGTAAGGACACAAAGATGAATAAGATATGGTTCCACCTTCACCAAGCTTGTGATCTAGAAGATGGATAT